CAGGCTCCCCGACACAAGGGGGGGGTGGAGAGCGAGCGCAAAGAGAGTCCAGGGACAGGGTGGGCCTGAGATTGGAGGGACCCAGGCCACGGGGGACGGGGCGGCGTGGGGAACCCAACAGGGCCCGAGAGAGCGCAGTAATTCATCAACTGTGTGTCTGGGAGAGTTTTCCCAAACCGCAGCCCTGGACTCTCCCTAAATCAGGCCACTCCTCTCTTTGGAATACATTTCACTACCCCACCCTATATCTTGGATTCACGATTTGTTGTCTGCTCCCTGAGGGCAAAAAGTTTATTTTGCCTGCGGCTCTCTGGCCCGCCTGAAACCAGCCGGGCACAGTTGCATTGGAGGGAAAAAAAAAAATCATTCAACTGGAGAGAAAAGGTGGGCTCAACAGATAAGAGAGAAAGTGGAGCCGAGATTATCATCTGTATCCATCCTAGAGGCAGATTCAAATTTTAAAAGTATCCAATACTGTCTCGGGTCTGAAAGACTTTGCCCCTCCTCCAGCCTCTGGCAGATGAAGCCATTTCACTGTTTAACATTCCTAAAGGGTAAATTTGGTTATAAAGTCAATCTCACAGAGGTTAGTGAGACATTAAGACGACTTCTAAATTCAGTTGAAGTTTTTTTGGGGTTTTGTTTGTTTTTGTTTTGGCCACAGCTGAGTGGCATGCGGGACCTTACTTTCCTGGACCAGGGATGGAACCCGCACCCCTGCATTGGAAGCGAGGACTCTTAACCACTGGACCGCCAGGGAAGTCCCTCAGCTGAAGTTTTAAACTTGTGTTTTGTTCCTTTCTCCCAACCTTGACATTTTTTGATGCAAAAAAGTTGATGCAAAACTGGTGCAGTCTCCCAGGCCATCCTAGGTGGATTCTGAATGCCCCTTCCCAGAAATGAGTGAGTCTGGAGACTCCAGGATTCCGTGCTAGTAAAGGATAAACTGAGGCATGTTAAAATGTTTAAGAGTTTATCTGAGCAAAAATCGATTTGAATAGGGCTGCATGCAATCTAGCAGGTAGGAAGAAATTTTGCGGAGCTGTTTGGTTACAGCCAAAACGGAATGGGAACAAGGAACTTATACTAGGCAAGAAAGTGGGCTGGTTAGTACAAAGTTACATTCCTTTAGGGGGTGGCAGATCACCTAACTAGTGCTGATAAGGCGACTCCTGATTGCTGGTTTAAGATTTTGTTTCCAGGAGACCCAAAATTAATAGTCGCAGTTTGGTGACGTGAGGATTGGCCCAACCAATTCCATTTTGGACCTGTTGTCTTGTTTTTTTTTTCTTTTTAAGAGACGGGGTCTCGCTATGTTGCCCAGGCTGGAGTGCAGTGGCTATTCACAGGCGCGATCCCACTACTGATCAGCACGGGAGTTTTGACCTGCTCCGTTTCCGACCTGGGCCGGTTCACCCCTCCTTAGGCAACCTGGTGGTCCCCCGCTCCCGGGAGGTCACCATATTGACGCCGAACTTAGTGCGGACACCCGATCGGCATAGCGCACTACAGCCCAGAACTCCTGGGCTCAAGCGATCCTCCTGCCTCAGCCTCCCGAGTAGCTGGGATTACAGGCACGCGCCACCGCGCCCGGCTGTTGTCTTGTTTTTAACACTCTAAATCTGTTAGTTCACATTCCTTTTGCCTTGCTTTTTGCTGTGCATTTTAAATTTACTTTAAAAAGTGAGTGATATGAGCTTTTAAATATGGTCTGTTGGCGTTTCTGTTTCAGAAACTTTGGAATAGCTTACCTGGTCATGTTCTTGTAATCAAGTTAATTTCCCACAAGACAAAGGAATCTATATGGGTGGCGATGTTTTTGACAAATTGAAAATGTTCTACACTTGCTCAATAATTTGGTTGAATACAGGATTCTAGGTTGGAAATCATTTTCCTTCAGAATTTGGAAGCTCCCTTATCTTCCAGCATCCGGTATTGCTGAAGAATCTGAAGCCATCATATTTCCTGATCTTAGATTCTCATTATCTTATATTTTCTCTTCTATTTTACATCTGCTTCTGGTTTTGCCTTACCTACTAAGGGAATAGCTTTGATTTTATCTCCAGACCCTTCTTTTCTTGTTTCTGATATCAAACTTTTGAATTCCAGGTAGTCTTGTTTTTTTGCTCTCTTGGGTTTTCCTTTTATTAAGAGAGCATCCTGTTTGTTTCAAAAATATTATATCTTCCCAGAAAAAAAAAGGTATTATATGATTATTTTATGTCTGGAGAAATCAGTGGTAGTTTTCATTATGAGTTCTTTTATAGTCTTTCTAATTGCTTCATGCCACTTGGCTTTTTATCTCATATATCATACTATAAAGATGTTAACTAAAATGGTGTTATAATTTTAAAACACGGATTGTGTTTTCTGAATGCTCAGCTTCTGTCAAGTTTAAGCAACGAGAAACTCCACCATCATCTACATCCCATACCTCCCTTGAGCTCTGGTTCTCTCGCCTTTTTCCTTTTTCTTTTTTCTAAACTTTTTATTTTATATTGGAGTACAGCCGCTTAACAATGTTGTGATAGTTTCAGGTGCACAGCAAAGTGACTCAGCCATACATATACATGTATCCATTCTAACCCCAAACTCCTCTCCCATCCAGGCTGCCACATAACATTGAGCAGAGTTCCCTGTGCTATACAGTAGATCCTTGTTGGTAATCCATTTTAAATATAGCAGTGTCTCACCTTTTTCTTAAACCTGGATTTCTTGAGCGAGAGTCTATGTTGGCCCTTTTCACAATCTCACCTCTTAATCTTAAGACTCTTGCAATCTGAGTTTTGCCCTCACTTCTCCAAGGGCTCTCTGAGACTGCTGTAGGAGAGGTCACCTGCCCCAAAGGGCATACAGGTGAGAGCAGAACCAAAGGAGTAGAACTTGCAGTCAGGAGTGCCAGGAAGAGGTGCTGCTACCGTTTTGAGGACAGGTGGAATCACTGGGGGGTGGCAAGGACTTGTTAAGACAAGGACGGCTGGGCCCCAGTCTTTAATTCACTAGGTCTGGGTTGGAGTTCAACCACTTCTAATCATATCTAACAAGTTACCAGGTGCCGCTGATGCTGTCTGTCTGCAGGGCACACCTTTGACAACCCCTTAAATAAAGTGTTGTGACCTGACACGCATCTACAGCTACCCCTCATCCCCTACAAAAGTAGTTATTGATCCACACTGCAACTTTTGTGCTTTACTACAAACAAACAAGGTTGCTTTTGGTATTTCTTCATAGTTTCCAGCTATGGGGGAGACAGGGAGGTTGCACATTGAATAGGAGACAGTAAAAAAGAAGAGTGGGGCTGCTGAGGACCTTCTCTCCCACCATCAGCAGTTAATGTTAGGGCTCTTTGCCAGAATTCAATACAAGTTTATTTTGGGGGGTGGAGGAGGGGTGGGGGTAGCAATTTATAGATGTAGTTAATTTCAGTTGCTCACCAATCTTAAAGGCAATGAAATTGATAGTCTAGAAAACAAACTAAAATTACAGATCCAAAATACACATTCATAAAATACCGAGCTATTAAACTGTTTATAACGGATCCTTTATTTCTCCTCTCCTTTGCCTTACTAGCATCCAAAGGTTTAAGATGAGTCAGGCAAAGAAAACTAAGGGAATTTGCCATTAACTTAATTGGGAGTTAATTTGCAGTTGGAGGGAAACTGCCCTCTCCCCCCGGTACTAGAACACTTAAAGCCCAGTTCACAAACCAGTAGCCATCTCCAGAAGTAGAGTTGGGGGGAAAAAAAGGATTTTTAAGGCAACCTCAGGAAGACACAACCACAGAGGCTCTTTATAAAATTTCCAGCCTACTTGACAGAGGGCATGATTATTTTAATACAGAGCAGATGAAGAATTATCCTATTAGTCCACTAATTGGACTACGCCTACCAACTTGCCTTATCCTTTTACTCATTAGCCATTTACATTAAAACAGGCTGCCTGATTGGCTTATCTGTAGTTTTTAAGAGGAAACACGACCTAGACTTTTAGGTTGGATTCTTCTCTCACCACAGTGTTAGCTTGGATTTTTCTCCCTCTTTCTTAGCCCTATAGTTCTTCCAGGCTACTTTGTAGCAATTTGAGTCTAAAGCATCACCTTCCACTGGAACCCAAAGGTCTAGGAGAAGCTTCAAGCTGTGACAAGACTAGGAATGGATTCATCTGAGGTTAACCCAACCTGGACCCTGGAGTCTCCTCAAATGTCCATCGATGAAAATTCCCAGGCAATTCCAGGTAAGCCAGACTTACCTGGGGTTCAGAAAGGTAAGAGGCTGCCTTCCTTTCTGTTATACTGACTTCAGTCTTTTACATAGAAATGCAGTTAAGTAAACCTCTTCAGAGCAGAGGAGAGCCAGGGAGTGTAGGGCCCTCCTCTAAAGAAAGAAAGAGAGAAAGAGAAAGAAAAAAGAAAGGCAGGAAAAGAGGAGAAAAGTGGGAGGGGTGTTGAGCTGCATTGTTTGCTTACTATGCTCAGGAGTCTGTCAACCTTTTAAGGACATTTTCTGGGGAAGAGCAATCAGTTCTAGATGGTGGCTCACAGCGTCTTGTGCGATCAGTATTTCCATCAGCAATATATTCCAATCAGGAATTGTAAAGGGAAAAGAATACAAGAAACCTAATCTTCAATTTGACCTAAAGGTTTTCTTAATTTCACCAAAGTTTCTGGGACCGGCTTTCCAGCTGAATTTACGCTTTGGGAATGTTAATAAAGAGGGAAATGGCTTTTCAGAGGAAATCGAAGGAAGGGGCGGGTTTATAAAAGCCAGTAAGTGTGCTCTGTAATGTAAATAAGTAGTAGTAAGACTTACGATGGAGAGCTTAGAAACCGTGCTCCAGGAATACTGCTAATTAGGTTCCCTGCCTTCCAGGGCTCTTCCCAAGTCATCTCTCCTTGGAGCCGCACACGATCCCAGGCGTGGCCTCCCATGCTTGGCCTCGCAGGAAATCTTATTACTCTAACCTCGGGCGGGGAATGGGTGGTGTAGGGTGGCCGCAGATGACCTGGAGCCAACCGACACCCTCTGGACAGCTAGGAAGTTGGGTGGGTCGTCGCTGGCATTATATTCTGCCCTCTGCCTCCGAGATCTAAACTGCCTCCCCTGCATCTTGAGGATAAGAACTCTGGTCAAAGGGGAAAAAAATTAATGAAGAGAGTATATAATACGGCCAGTTTCTCCCATTCCTTGAATCTGCCTTAGTACCTGACAATTCCACAACTTGGAATCTTTATTTCCATGTGCACAAGTCCCTAGAAGTTGAATGGATCCTGACTCAATATCTAATACTCTCACATACAGAGGAAAATTAATGCTAACTGCCTTGTTGTATGAGATTAGTGTTTATGAAATTGACATGATTGTTCAGATGGGAAGAGGCAAGAGTGGGTGGGTGTTTTTGTTTTTGTTTTGTTGGCCGCACAGTGCAGGGGAAGGATCTTAGCTCCCCGACAGGGATGGAACTAGTGTCCCCTGCACTGGGAGCACAGAGCTTTCATCACTGGACCCCCCCACCCCACCCTGGGGAAGCCCCAAGAGTGAATGATTTCTCAAAATACTGCGTCGGAGTGGAAAGATCTAGCAGCATGAAAAAGCTGGGTAAAACTGGTGAGGGTTACAGCCACTTTGACATAGTAGTTAAGGATAGGGGATTTGGGGATAGGCTGTTATATTTGGGGTTTCTTTGTCTATTTCATAGATGTAGTTCATTTTCCAGAAAAAAAAAACAGGTCTGTTTGTAATTGTCATAAAGGTGAACTGCTGAAACTTGTTACACTGAAACATTTTGACTTGCATTAGTGCTTTATGTCCCTGCATTTATATTAAAAATCACACAAATGAAAATGGAAAAACTGTCAATACCTGGTTTCTGTTCCATGTTTTTCCACTTGGAATCATACTTAAGTACCTTTTGACCCCATGGGAAAACATCTACCATTCAGAACTACCCATAACGGGAAGAAACCACTTTTTTTTTTCCTTTTGCCACACCCCAGGGCGTGTGGGATTTTAGTTCCCTGACCAGGGCTCTAACTGCGCCCCCTGCATTGGAAGCCCAGAGTCTTAACCACTGGACAACCGGGGAAGTCCCATAAAGAAAACAACTTTTTATTTTGAGAAGAAAGTGTTTCCCATTATAGTGGATTCTTAGGCTGCTCTCAAGGCATGCGGCATTCTAGTTAATGCCCGTGGTATCTAGGATCTTCACCCTGAGGAAACTTCCAGTGTCCATTGTTGAGCTGCTTAAGAGCAGACCTAGTTTGAGCAAGAGATAAGTGGCTTCTGGATATTGTACTTCCGCACTAATGGACCTTAAACTTCCTTTTTTTCTTTCAGTTGCCTCTGAACCTATGTCTGAAGTGTTAATAAAGAACCTCAGTAAATTGACGCTCAACCCTAGTATCAAATTGCCATTCATTCTACCAGAATGTCTACCTCAACCAACTGGGCGGTTACTTGGTGAAAACATACCCTATAGGAGAGGGGTGAGGACCGTGTTAACCGATCGGAGAGATAAGATGGAACGGCTGATTCAATCCATTAAAAAACGCTATGGCAAAGGAGTTCCTCGGGTGAGTTTATGTGGTCTGGGTAGGCAGCACTGCCCCACTCTAGG